GAGGGACTACGATATTTTATCGAGTGTCTTTGCTAAAACGCCCATATTCGAGGGACATGACTATTTTTCCGAGGAAATAAGTGAGATTATCCTAGGGGTGCATGTGTGTGAATAATGTGTTTGATTTGCATTCATTTAGTCTTTGATTAGGGTGATCTACTTGTTGGTTTTATCTTACCATACATCCTAATTACTAACATTTGTACAAAAGCAATAAAAATGCAAAAAAAATAAATCCTACACTATTACAACCATATTGAATGGCAAGAAAATATAAAGACAAAATAAAATAAATAAATGAAAATGGGCTTTTTCGATTCAGGCAGCAATACTCTTCGATTATGCACTTCTTGGCTTCCTTCGATTTGGGCCTGGAGTCAGTAAGGTCATGTCTTTCGATTTCACCCATTGCTTGTTTCTTTTGAATGGGACCTGGAAGTCAGTGTGGACATCCTACTGGATGCTTCTTTCGTTTGAGGCCTGGAGTCAACGTGAGGTGCACTCTTTGCCTCAGGCCCCTTGCTGCCTTCTTCGACTGTAGGAATGTTAGGCCCTCATGTTGAGATTCGAAAGGCTTAAGTACTTAGCCAATCGAAGGATACAAAGAACCTGTTTTAAACTTTTAAACATGCAACATTCAAGTGTAACTTTCGAAAGCTACAGGCCTGGGGTTAGCACAAGATTATTGGGTCTCAAAATCCAAAGTCTAACTAGTCAGGGTTGAGACTTTCAACATATAGGCAGTCAGGATCGAAGGTTAAAGCATGGTCAAACTCCTTAGATGAAATATCTACATTTTCTCTTTATTGGTATGTACACATGATATTTAAATGAAATAGTTCCAAGTTTAGAGAGAACTTACCTCTTGAAGCGCTTAAATCGAAGGAAACTGCAAGTGACTTCCTTGGTGGTGAATGGAAGTTCGTTGGAGTCTTCCTGAGGCTTGGTCCAGTTACTACCTTGTTTGAGAAGTCAATGAACCGAAGGATGGGTATGTGAGTGAATCGAAGGTTACTCTATAACATGTGAGGGAGTGAATCAAAAGATTATTATATTGCAATTGGGGTAATGGGTCGAAGGTTGGTTATCTGGCAACTTGAGGAGTGAATCGAAGGGTTCACTTAGTGTGTGAAGGGGTCTGAGTTTTTTAGAAGTGTTTGGAATATTAAAAAAACGTTGGATAGTGTTTGAGAGTTTTTTGAGAGATTTATCACTTTTTTCACAACAAGAGTTTTCTTGCAACTATCCAGGGGCCCCTAAGATGTGTGGTGGAGGCTCATATTTATAGATGATTTTGGCTGATGCTTTAGGAGGGAAAACAAGAAATTTGAAAAAAAAAGGGCATGATGTTCTTGTAGCTTTTGAGGGGCAGTATTCGTATGCCAAATTGGTGCAAGAATAAGGGCAGTGTTGCAGGACTGCTACGCAGCAGTTTTGGAGTGTTATGGCCAGTGTATCAGGCCTGAACTTGGCAGTACATGGGACTCTGGCCAGCAAGTATCTTTGGATATCTCAACCTTTTATTTTGACCCCCTAGCCCTATCCTTCGACCAGACTCCTCAACAACATTTCTTTTCAAATCAAAGTGTCCTTCGAATGGCTCATATGGGTATCCTTTGAAGGGGCCCAAATAGGTGCCTTTCGAATAGGCCTTTTGTATGTTCCTTTTGAATGTGCCAATTGTGAGTATCATAGTGCAAAAATTGTATGTGTTAAAACAAGTTGTTCCCAAGGGAGATACTGCCCAGTCGAAACTAGCATGAAAGTGGCCAATGCTTTATGGGCGCTATTGCCTTATGAATTCCAGCCATGAGGGAGCTTTTTGCCTTGTGCATTCTCGCCTAAAGGGAGTCCTGGTTTTTGTGAGTCGAAGGAATTATGCAAAGGGAAAATAGCCTCTGAATCAAAGGAAAGCTTTAGGAGGCTATTTCTTTATGACTCCAAGCAAACATACAAGGAGCATTTGCTCAAATGAAGGGCGTAACCAAAACTTGCATTGAAGAGGACCACACGCCCCAAACGAAAGATGCATGCATGAGGCCTAAATGCACAAACAAAAGATGCACGCAGAAGGTCTAAATGCCCAAACGAAACTTGCAACAAAAGGGAGCCACATTCCCAAATGAAAGAGGCGTGCAGGAGGTCTAAATGCCCAAGCGAAGCTTTCAACAAAGGGGGCTACATTCCCAGATGAAAGAGGCATGCAAGAGGAAAAATGTGCAATTGAATGAGACCAGAAAAGAGGCCTTTGCCTCCTATATCGAAGGAAACCAAGCGGGAGGCTTTTGCCTTCTGATTCGAAGGACATCAGCAGGAGGATTTTTTATTTTTGAATTGAAGCTAGTTGGAGATAAGTGTTGCCTTGTTGAAGCTTGCAACAAGTTGTTTCAAAGGGTGACTTTGCCCAGTCATAGCCTGCATGCAGGTAACTACTGCACTATGGATGCTAATTTCAATCCAGTGAATGCTAGCCATAGGAAGACTTTTTCCTTGTGCACGCTAGCATGGTGGGAAATTCTGCCTTGTGAATTTGGCAAACATGCAGGAAAGAGGCCATATGGCCAAACGAAAGATGTATACCAATCTTGCACAAAGAAACTAAAATGTTCAAAAGAAGCAAGAATCGAACTTTCCTAAAATAAGTCCAGTGTTCAAACGAAGACTCTGAACCAAAGCTTGCATCGAAGCAGCCAAAGTGCCCAATCGAAAGATGTAAAATCGAAGAAAACTTGTTTTTTCTTCAATTTTGTCAAAAAGAATATTTGCATCTGCTTTGCCCTTTTTAACAGTTTCCTCTTTATCTTGATGCTGGAGAATCCAATTGTACTTGTGCAAGTTTGAATTTTGAGAATCCTTGTGAGAAATGCCTTGAGGGACGAGAGTGCAAATTTTGGGGTACAACATGTTTGCTTAATCAAGTAGCGGTAACCGGAGGATTGTGAATATTGATATGGGGTCAAATTTCTTGCGTCTGAAACCAGCCGAGTGAAAGGATTAAGAAACGGTGGGTTTGCTTTATCAAGTAGCAGTAACCAGAGGTTTATTCGAAGAATTTGGCACTTGGTTTTTCTCAAACCAAGGAAAGGGAATAAGATTGTTACTTCAGCAACATTGGTTTATTTGTATTGTCAACTATCTCTTCTCTTGTATCATTTGCAACTTAATATAAAATATCTCAATTCTAGATTCTAGAATTGGTGGCTGACGTACCCTACGCGAGGACGACAAGGGGAACTTCCTTAATAAATTGTGTGTTCTTTTGATTTTTCTTTATCTCTATACCTGATTACTATATTGTGTAAAAATTAATTTTTCAAATCTGCATTTATTGAAATTGTGTGTGTTGAGTTCATTTCAAAACATTGGTAACAATCCTTTTGATTGATACCTAAGAAAACTCACCACTACAATTTAGTAAAACCAAAACTAAGGTGATTTGCTCACAAGGTGTTTGACAAATTGACTAATCCACAAATTATTCATTGTGCTTATCATTATCTCATTCAACTCATTGGTAGTAATTAATAATCATTGAGGGTGTATAAGTGATTAATCAATTGAGTAAACCGCATTGATTCTTATTTTATCATTACATCCCATACGGTTACGTATATCCGATCTTTTTAATAGAGGATTGTTTAGACGATTGGAGATTCCAGGAAGCTTTCACATATTTTTCTGAAAACAATTTTAAAAAGCGCAAATTATTTTCAACAATTTATTCAACCCCCCTTCTAGTTCGATCGCATAGTCTAACAGACATAACCTCTGTTGTGGAACATTTTGAGAGATACTTGATGATTTTGACGAGTATTGTAGGTTGAGTGTGACTGATCGATAGGTTTAAGTTTGTTTTGAGTAGTGTAAATTCATGCTTGATAAGTTTTCTTCTCCAAAGAATGTATTATTTCTTGTTCATATGTTTAATTCCCACATTTACTTTAAAACCATTCAAACTCAAACTCATAAATGCGAGAAATTGTCAAACGGAAATTCATTAGCATTAATCCTTGTAGAGACGATATGATAAAACTAAATAAGTACTTACTTTTGCTTACCGCTTTACCGCTACAACAATTCTCTTCCTCGAAAATGGGAGACGCCCAACCTAAACGACCTTAGATCTCTAAAGAATCCTTATCAATGTCATTCTTCTTCATCCCAGCAAGGTTATAACGAGTCCTTAACGAATTAACTTCCCATGGTAAAACAAAATGTGTTGGGAACTCTTTCGAGCCAGTAACTAACTGATTGAGGAAGGGCACAATCCTCATCATAATAGTGGCTATCCTTTTACTAGGTCACACCGTCCATAAGGAGAAAGTTGGTTGAAAATGCATGATCACCATCGAATAGAAGACTAGTTATTTCCTCTAATGGTTAAGAGGAGAGACTCGTTAACACGAAAAGCAAGCAAAGAGAAATACCAACCACATAAATCTTGACTGAGGGCGACCGAGATATTGCTATCATGTTTGTTCTTGGATTGACCTTCCGAATGAGTCAGAATAAGTGGAGAAATCCCAGGCTCTAATGTTATATCAGTTGTGGCATTAAGAATTTTCCTATACTTATCTGAGAAAAATAAAAAATACCCACAAATAAGAACTAAACAAGTCCATTTTCCCACAAAGATAAAGAAAAAAAATTACTTACCAAACACCTATTTCCGCCCCTCCGCAGAACTAGTTTTCGCCACTTCCATACAGGGTATTAAATCATCATAAAACGAGAGCAAAACCACTTTCATTTCCCTATCCACCTCATTAAAATATTCATAAGATACCTAGTAATTTTTAGCGCTTTTTGGATAAATTGTTTGGAGGCCAGAACTATCGCCTCCTATCCGTGCACTCAACTTACTCGACAGAAAGGGAGAAATTACACAGAATTCCTCATGAGAAGGAGAGATAGACTTATCTAGAAAGTAATCAATTTTAGAATACTTCCAATTATCGAGATAGACCTTTTAGGACCGATTCTTGTCACGATGGACAAAATTAAGTTTGCGGTTGACGACATCCTTCAAGGTGGAACATACTTCGAAAAGGTGGAAAAAGAGATCTCGAGAGGCTGGGCCAACTTTCCCTAATATTCATACCATTACTATAATACTCGAACAAAACCCTAAGCGTGTGGATGAAGTTGCGAAGGAGGAACACATAGATGATCCAAAACCTCATTCTCTAAGGAAGTAAGCGGAAGACGAACACCCAACTTTCAAAAAATATTGGAATAAAGGGGGATAAAACACCCTTCAAACTTATAAAATATTCTTTTCTCAACCGAGATTGGAACAATATCCCAATCGAAGGATACCCATATTTCCAAAGGACCAAGTAATATTTACTGCTCGTGAGTGAAAGTAGATTTGTGGGCTAACCACTCGGGTTCGACCCATAAGTAATCTTCCACCGCGACTTCCGCCATCAAAATTGGTTAAGCAAGCATAAAATCAAGTTCACGAATCAAAACAAAGTATTATGACCTGAATGGACGGGTATATAGTAACAAAGGGGGGAACTGGAAAATAGAATTTACCTTATGAAAAGAAAACCTAAGTGGAGGCATATGGTTTGGGTCAAGCAACAGAAGAAAATCTGAAAATAATCCATATCGCCTCATCAATATAATTGAGAGTAAGTAGACTTAAATACCCTAGGTAAGGTAATTATACCTAACATGTGTGCCTAAGGTGGCTGTTATACCCCAATTTTTCTCCTAAGATCCCTCATCATACTCTGTACATCTCCCACATAGCATTGGTCCCATGGTTACGAGATCGAAGAGTTTTTGGCATTAGGGTTGTTCTCTGTGGACTAAGATTGTTACATTCTTCACATTGATTCAACTGGCACTACCTGTCAACATCTGGGTTGAACCCTCACTGTGTTCATTGGTAACCTTCAAAATATTCCACCTTCATCATAACCATAACCGCAACTCCTATTCCATCTTCATCATTCATCACGAAACCTCCTTCATCATCAATTTCTGGCTTCACTGCAATTTTCTGCAAGATTCCACAACTTCAACCGTCTCCATCATCATCCTCTCAATATCCTCCAACTGGAAAAAGTAATAATAACATCATCGTCCTCTTCGCAAGTTCTCTGATCTTCATTGCACATCATCACTGTAACGGCAACACACGTTTCATTCATCTGCATCACAATAGCGGTTTGTGGAAGTACCATTTCAGAAGCGCACAAAGAGAGAATAAGAGATATAGGGAGAGTTAAAGGCTTTCGTACCTTAATATGCAGGGATTTCTGGTGCCCTCTCTGTTGGTGACCTCTTTGAAGAAACCACCGAAGTTACTCCGCTAGGTAAGCCATATTAAGCTTTCACGTTAACTCATCCCTTTCTCTATTTTTGATGTGAATCTGTAGAAGAAAGAAGATAGAGGTTAAATCCCTCGGAATTGTAGGCTAAAACAACTTCACCGTCATCTAATTCAATCTAGTATCGACTTAGGTTTTAACTCTGTGAACGGATTTGAAATGATTATAATGCGATCTGTAGAACAAGTCAGTGTTAGTTTCATGGTAAGAAATCGGAGGAATAAATTGGCAGAAGGAATGTTGAAATGTTTGAAATTGAGTCGAATTCGGTGGTTTGCGGATTTTGTTTACTGAGACAGAGATGCTGAGACGAGATTCGGTGAACTCGCGGAGAAGTGAACTCGCGGAGAGGAGATGATGAGGATTGGCTGCAGCAAGATTATGAGAGAGAGAAACTGAGTGGTTATATTTTTGAACCCTATCCCTTCTTAATTTTGTTTAATCTTTTTTCTTTTAGTAAAAAAATATGAAATGTACAATAATCTGGATAATGGGTCGGGCCACAATTGTCTACCATAAGCCCAGGCCCTGAGTTTTTTTTTGTTTGAGGTGCAGTAGAATAAAAAAGGATGCTATTAGACTTTGATGAAATGGGCCCTGTGCCCAGTTTACTATAGTACACCACTAGAATCCAATTTAACACTCTCCTGACCAATTATATTTCCTATGTTTTTTTTTAGATTTTATTTAGTTTTAGTTTAAATTCCTTTCATAATAAAAGTAGTAGCAAATACATATAATAAAAAAACAATAAAAAATATAGATTTTAGGATTGCTTCTTATTTTTTAGGGTAATAAACTACAAAAAATCAATAAAATTTGTTAGATTTCTCATTTGGTTTTTTAGGAAATTAATTTCTAATTTTTTCGATTACTCAAAACTTGTGCTTCACTTCTGCTGATCGAGGTTTGAGTTTTATACAGGTTTATCTTGGGATATGCGGATGTGTTTGGATTCCAATTGTGATTTACTTTCACATCGATGATACTTCGACGCATATTCCAAATATTCGATCTTTGACTGTTTACTTATTGATGCCAGCTCGCGTGAAGTATTCCGGGTTTCTTTGCTTTGGTTGCGTTTTTTGCGGACATCATTGTTCGTTTGGTATTATACTGCTTCTAAGTTATATTTTCGCATTTATCGCTTTTCTAGATATCATGAGAAGTAGAAAATAAAGAGTGTGTGCTCGAAGTCGCTGTTTAAAGACCTGTAGTAGACATTTTGAACTTCGTTTATTATATGTGTTGTGCTTGTGTTTGTTTCCTTTCTTGTTGATCGATGAGTCACTCAGTTTAGAAATTGAGATCACGACTTCGCTCTCGTTGTACGTTCCCCATAAGATAGTTTTGTTATACTTTCTTTGGCATGCTAACTTAGATAGGATCCCTCATTGTATGATAACATTAGGCTAGATTTAGGTTAGTCTCCCTTTAGACTTTTATTTCCCCTTTTGCATTTTCATTAAAACAAAAACTTCTTTTTCTTGCAAACTTCAAAACACCTAAAGATTACTGATGAGAGTCATACCTTTGTTGAGTATGGGAAGTGATAAGTGAGTTTCTTCTCGATCTTATTGTTCCTCCATTTAAAGCCTTGGTGTGGTTCAAGTCTCAAAGACTTACTTCATGAATAAGTAGAGAAATGGCTAATATCTCTCTCTTGAGATTAACTAGCCGTTATCTGCAGCAAAAACACCAACCAACACAAACTCTCTTGCCCTTGGGCTTTTCTTTCAAAATTATTTCCAAAAGGACATGTTAAGTCACTTCTGTATTGACGTGTAAATCTCCAAAGGTCGAGTTGAGACAGAAGGAGGGGTTAATATTGTTCATTAAAAAATACAAACAAACAAAATACGTGAGCCGAACTACGGTGCTCTGATTCCTTAAAATGGATACATAGGCATCTGGTCACGGGGCTCAGCCGAGCGAAAAATTGTAAATATTTCCTTCTTTTCCCCCTGTTTTCTTTGCATGCATTCCCTCTTAGTTTATAACTCTTAAGCATCAGATTGAAAATACCCTTTTAATTAGAATAACAATAGTGGATCCTGTAGAGTACTACGGACATGTGGGGTGCTAATATCTTTCCCTCGCGTAATCGACTCCCTTACCTATCTCTCGGTCGCAAGACCTTGATTTACCCTTTAGGTTTTTCTTCAATGATTTTCCTTTCCCTTTTATGGGATAAATAAATACTCGGTGGCGACTTCATTGATTTTACCGCTACAGTGGCGTGCTGGTTAGGAAAAGTAAGAACAAATCAGTGACAAAACATTATTATATGACCTTTGCCCCTCACTACTTCCGCTACAAACACTAAAACCTTTCATACCCGATAGAAAGTGAATCCTTATAGAAAGTGAATCCTTATAGAAAGTCGGCCGAAAATTACTAAAGACTTACTGATACCCATCATACCCGATAAGTCTTAGGGGGCAACTATTATTGGTCGGCCATACCCCTATGGGAAAGACCATTATGGGATATCACAGTCCACGTCGTGGTTCTTAAATCGTCCACCCAACTATATCCTCATAAGTCTTATCCTTACCACTGGACTACTCTGTACATCGCTACAAAAGATCTACGCCTCAAACTCATCTAATAGTCATCTAAATTACATGCCTAAAAGATAGTGAAGTTCTTGTTCTTCCTTTTATATATAGAGAATGGCGTCATTTCAGGTAACAAGTTTCAAACACAATCCACATACTTTCTACTCTTTCACATATTGACTTGGGTGTCGGAGTGCTAACCTTGCAGGTACACCTCCGCTCTGCCGCACTGGAAGCTCCACTCCATTGCAGCTTCCGCAACTCTCTCAATTTCTGGTTCCACAGCGGAACAATTAATATTAACTAATTTTCTAAACTTTATATAAAACACAAGTAAAACTTTTAAGTTATTTTTTATTTTAATTTTTTTAATTATAAATAGGATTAAATGCACTTTTGTTTCTCCTATTTCAATATTTTTAATGTTTTAGTCCACTTTTAAAAAACTCTGTCTTTTGATTTCTCATTAAATATTTTATGGGATTTTTTAATCCTCTCCACTTTTGTTAATGTGACACTTGAAAAGTCTGACGTGGCCTAGAGTGTGTGACACTTGAAAAGTCTTTCACAATTTACTTGTTGTAATCTTAAGTATTGGACTGCTGCGGTAAAGAACATGGGTCATGGGCCCAAATATTATATTTTTAATTTTATAATAATTAATTTCTAAATAAAGTTTCTAAAAAATTGATTAAAACTATTAAAACATTTAATTATTAAAAGTATTAACAAAAAAAATTAAGAAAATAAAATAATAAATTTTTAAACTTTTAAATATTTTTAATAGCGCGGGTCAAACATTTTAGGCTACGTCTGACTTTTCAAGTGCCACATCCACAAAAGTAGAGGAGACTAAAAAATCACAGAAAATATTTAATGGAGGGATCAAAAGACTGAGTTTTTTAAAGGAGAATAAAACATTAAAAAATTTAAATAGGTGGACCAAAAGTGCATTTATGCCTTATAAATATTAATAAATTATTTTAATAAATAAATAAATATAAATAAATGTTACTGTCAGATATTGAACTTAACAAACACATATCATTTGAGTTATCTTTAAAAGCACAAGTTAAGAACTAAATGGATAAATTTTATCTTAGAAATTGTATATTCATTTTATTAAATATATATATATATATATATATATATATATATATATATATATATATATATATATATATATATATATATATATATATATATATATATATATATATATATATATATATATATATATATATATATATATATATATATATATATATATATATATATATATATATATATATATATATATATATATATATATATATATATATATATATATATATATAATTTTTAACATAAACTTTTCATTCATTTATGAATTTTTTAACAAGTGCCTTTAGAACACAAGTTAACATTACCTATAAATAAAAACATGGATCCTAACACATGCCTTTATCATTTATTTTATAATGTGGTAGTGTGTAGCTTATTATAAGAATATGGATCCTAAAAAGACTAAGTTGGATCCTCGGAGGATCAAATGTGCTTTTGTAGACTATGTACCTAACAGTAAAGTATATAGACTTTTGAATTTAAAGTATAATGTAATTATTGAATCTCGACATGTGAATTTTTTTAGAACCTTATCACGAAGGATAAGGAATCTTAGATTTCTATAAATGAAGAACCTCATGAAGAAGATTCTCCACAGATTGTTGAAACACAACTCAAGTTTAACATAAGCAAGAGAGTCTTAAAGGCTAAGAATCTAGGACCGAACAAAATTGATTCTCATCTTACTCATTTTTATCTAGTAGAAGGAAATAGTGATAATTTTGTTTATAAGATTCCTATTAATATTCAAGTGCGAGATGATCCTAAGACTTATAAGAAAGCAGTAGCTTTGAGGGACTCCTCCTTTTGGTAGGATGTTATCCAAGTCAAAATAGATTCAATCATTTCACACTACACTTGGGAACTTGTCAATATACCTAAAGTATTAAGACTCATTGGATGCAAGTGGGTGTTTAGAAGAAGTATCATAGCTATAGTACATTAAAAACCTACAAGGTTATATTAGTAGCCAAAGGTTTTATACAAAATGAATGTGTTGATTATTTCAAAAAAATATGCACTAGTGGCAAGGACAATAACAATTAGAATATTGTTTGCATTAGCTTCTTTGCATGAACTTATAGTTCATCAAATAGATGTCAAAACGAAATTTTTAAATGGAGATCTCGATGAGGAGATTTACATGGAGCAACCAGAAGGTTATGTGCTTCCTGGTAATAAACAAAAGGTGTGCAAGCTTATCAAATCATTTTATGAATTAAAACAAACACCAAAACAATGGCATCAAAAGTTTAACTTTGTCGTACTTTCAAATGGATGTGTTTCTAATACTTGTGGCAAGTGTTTGTACATAAAAGGCTCATTAAAACATTGTGATATGCATTTGCCTTTATGTTGATGACATGTTAATCTTTAGGAACGAGATGAATACAATTTTAAAACGAAAGAGGTTTCCAACTTCCACATTCAAGATGAAAGATTTTGGACTAGTTGACACTATTTTGGAGATCAAAGTAAAGATAAATAATAAGGGTTATGAACTTAGTCAAACACACTATGTGAATAAAATGCTTAATAAGTTCAAACACTTACGTTTCAAGGAAGTGAGTATTCCATTTGATCATAGCATAAGCTTCAAAAGAATGATGGAAGAACCGTGGCTCAGTTGGAATATGCAGGTGCAATTGGTTGTCTAGTGTATTTGATGTATTGTACTAGACTCAACATAGTATTTGCAGTTAGTAAAATGAGTAGATTTAGTAGCAATCTAAATGGTGAATATTGGAAAGTCATCACAAGAATT